CCCGGCGCCGCCCGCCGCTCCCGGGAGCCCTGGCCGGGCTCGCTCCCGCCCCGGGGCCGCCCCCTGCATGCCCGCCCGTCTCCAGCCGCCGTCCTGCCCCGGGCAGAGCCGGGGCCGCAGCCCAGCAGAGGCCCCAGGCGAGGGAGGCCTGGCCTGACAGGGATGTTTGCCCTCCGGGAGGGACTGGGGCCGCGACCGCTCCTGGCTGCGGGGAAAGGCAGGGCAGGCATGGCCTGATAGCCAGCGGTGCCGGACTGCAGCGTCCTGCACAGCCCCAGCCTCGCCGGGTCTGGTACAGGTGGGCTCGGCACCACCAGGGGCTTGTGTGCAGGTAAAGCAGGCCAGGGAAGGCAAAAGGTTTCCATTATTATGGACATACCTCTCTGTAACTGCTCTTCTGTCAGCCTGAGCAGCTTATTGCATTTAACTCCAAACTTTCTTCTATGCGATTCAGGTCTTAGCTACACAGAGAAGGTTTTTCACGTGTTTCCTCTCTGACTTGGAAATGCTCATTGTAGATACATGTATTTTGGAAGATGGGGAAGGTCTAAGATCTCTGGAGATGGGCTATGAGCAAAACCTGGTGTAGACCTAAAAGCAAGGACAAGTGCAAGTGACAGTGCCAGGGGAAGTGCAGCCCTCCTTGCATCCAGCTGCTGACAGAGTAGCTGTAGGTCCCTGTTGGATCTAATGCCCTGGGGATTAATGTTCCTGTTCCCCCAGGAACACATAAATGTGACTTGTGGTGTCCTTGGCAAATGAGACACTGGACCAGCATCCAGGCTTAGCTCAGTGTCCCACAGTGGGTGTGGACTGGTTGATGCAAGCGGGTGGAGGTCCTGTGTGAAGGCAGCAGAGCTCTGGGTTAGACAGGGCAACAAGGTGAGGAGTTGGCTGTGGGAGCATTCTCCTAACCCAGGAATAAACAGCAATCCCCAGAAGGGCTGAAAGAGCAGGGAAACAAAGCAGCCAGAGCAGCCTGCCTCCAGAAATGAAAGGAGAATTTGCAACTCGAGTGGAGAGCAACATGAGGCACAAGAGGGCAAGCTGACACTGCAAAAATCTACTTCTTCCCTCCAGGACACAGAAGCACTGGCTCTCGCTATCCCAGCAGTGTCTTGCAGGATGCAGGGAGGAGCAAAGGGCCTCTGTCCATGGAGGCACCCAGGGAGGGAGGCACCACAGAGGTATCCACACGACAGAGGTGGGAGAGGGCTGCTGGAGGAACCTACCAAGCAATGGGGCTAAAGACAAGATGATTCATCTGTGAGCTGGAATCATAAAACCCCTGAGTCTCCACTAGAGACTAGGACAGGAGGTGACAACATTCGTGTGGGAAGCAGTAAAGAGCTGCTTTAACAAGGCACATAAAAATAAGGAGCCAGAGCAGGAACAGATAAGTCTGTGCTTCTCTAAAACACGATGCTGGAGCCGGGGTGCCAAAGCTGGTGTGTGGATGCATCTGTATCACGGATAAAGTGGAAGGGAACAGAGAGGGTACACCAGGGTTCCCAGGCACACAGCTGCTCTCTGGCTGCTGCCAGCTGCAGACCTGGGTGCAGGAGCATCTTCAGCTTAGCCCATGAAACCTGCACCCCATCACTGGCACTGAAAAGTCCCTTTGCAGAGACAGCGATGCACTCAAAGGCTGTTGGGAAAGAGACGGGGAAATCCATCAGTCGTGTTAACATCCTCAAAGGGGAGCTGTGGGAAGCAGAGGAAGTTTGTCGGCAAGGAACAGCAAGCAGTGGCTGTAATGGAGAAAGGCTGGCAGTGGCCTGGGCACCGTGCTGAGAGCTTCAACTGTGACACATAAAATGAGTAAAAGGCTTTTCTGAAGGCACATTTCAAATGGATTACCTCGATGCTGAAGAGCATTTCCCCAATGTCCTCGAGGATCATATCCACAAGGAAGCAAACCTCAGCGGGTGGCTGGCACACAGAAAGGTCTCAGCATAAGAGGAGCTGGGAAAGCAGCTGAATGTGATGACAACTCTACTGGCCTCTGTTTGAGCTGGAAGATAACCAGGCTTTGGGACTCGCAGTGAAAAACACAGGATAATTTTGACCCCAAAGAGTGGGAAAAGCCACCCTGTGTGGAAGAGCACAGCTGTGGGCAGGTCATGCTGTAGGCACAAAGTCAATATAACATGAAGACAGGAAAAAAAATGAAGATTGGGCTTGTAGACAAGCCTCCAAATAAATAAAGCACATTGAAACAGCCTGAGAACAAATGTATAAATTCATCTATAAAAAAGCCAGAAGGCCAAAAAACCCCCAAGTGAGCTGCAAGAAGTACTTGAAGGGAACTGGCTGGAGGGAAAGAGGCAGAGAAATGCACCTCAGTCCCACTGAACATCCTTCCAGGGGAAATGCAGCAAAAAAAAAGAGGAATTTCATCAACCAGAAACTGCAAGTGGTGGCTATGACGGGTAAAGACCATTTATGACCTGGGGACCGTGCCCTGAATGCCCTGAGCTCTGAGAAAGCACCACAGACTGTAAACCATGACAGAGCCCCAGGGCAGAGCAGAGGTGGCTGGAAGTGATGGGCATCCTTCAGGAAGGTGGGGGAAAGGGGGAGCAGCAGCACTGCCAGCCCCTGGGAAGTGCCTGGAAGGCAGTCACCTCAGCAGGCTGCCCTGGGCTCAGCAGATGCCTCTGGTCTCCTGGAACTGAGCAGACATCGCTGAAAACCTGGAGCACTCAAGGCTATTAAAGTACCACACAAAGAGTCAGGAATGGTGACTCAGACAGAAAGCAAATGGATGAAAGCAAACAGCTGGGGAGGGACTGCAATGGGTTTTCTCAGGGTAAATCAAGATCCCAGATCTAGCAAGCTCCTCTGGAGCAGGCAGCTGCTTTTGGGGAAAGGCAGTGGTGATACCCAGCTGAGGTCAAACAATGATGGATGACAATGCTGCAAAAAAGGCCACGACCATTGTGTGGCTCTCTCTGGCTGCAAAGCCAAGGTTTCCATGTTAATTGTCAGAATGCTATGGAAATGCAGCTCATCCTTGGTCCAGCTGGTCTTACACAAAAGCCTCTGCTAAGATCCTCTAGAAAATGTTCTTAGAGAGCCAAGGCTGTCAAGGGTGAAAGCAAAGGTCCTCTTGTGCATTAATGACCTACTCAAAGGAAAGCAAATGCATTAAAGCAGCAATCAAGTTGTTTTGTGAGTAAGTTGGGAGGTCTGGGCAACTCTGCTGTGATCCATGCCATTTATCAGATGCAGAAATGGGCTGGGAAGGTGGGCAGGGAACAAGAAGTAAAAGTTTGATGATGGTTCAGATTGTCTATCTAGTCAAACTGGCATCTGATGTGAATTACCAGCATGTTACTGACCAACCTGAACCTCAGCAGCAGAGGAAATGTAGACCCGACAAATGCAAGGAAAAAGAAGAGGTGCAAGGGGCAGACTACAAGTTATACATCAGTATTCAGGGAGGTGCCCCTGAAATGTTTACTGGTAATGTTTTGAAAACACAGTACCCAAGACTGACAGTAGAAACCATGAATGTTTTAGGCTGCTTCGCAAGATTTTGCTGCTCCCACTTTTCTAATTCCTCCATTAGCATGAGCCACATTTTACATTTTATTTGCCTGGAATAACACTGCATCCATGGAAAACTCTAAACACATTGAGAAGCACAGGTCCCTGCTGGCTTTTCTTTGTTTTCTGGTCTGACCACTATTGACTTGGCTGTTTTTTCACATAGTTTTCCCAGCAGCTCTTGGACCATCCCTGCTTCCTTTCAGGAGCCCTCAATCAGTACCACCCTATTACTTGATTTCTCTGACGTCCCATTTTTTCAGGGGGCAGAGCCATTTCAGACAGATACCTCTGCTGGAGGCAAGGCCCAGGAGGAGGGGAACTTTTAGCTTCCTACCAGAACAGAGTGCACTTGTCCAGCTACAGTGTCACAGGCTTGCCCTCAGCTCTGTCCCTAGGGATGCTCTGCCCTGCACATGCTTTATGCTCTGCGATGCCTTCTGAGCTGGTGAAGCTCAGGGCATGGTCCCCAGGTCACAAATGGCTTTTGCCCACGACAGCCACCACTTGCAGTGTCTGGCCCACGAGCTTCCTCCTTTTGCTGCACTTCCCTGGAGACCTTCAGTGGGACTGAAGGGGATTTCTTCCTTTCTCCCTTTAGCGTGTTCGGAATTCCCAAGCGTTTCGAGGAAAGAGTCAGTCAGAAGTCTGGGTTTGGCTTCAACCCGCCGTGCAACCCGGGTGCAGCTGCTCAGCTCCTCCTCAGGCCCGGCCGCTGCCCGGGTGCGGGGATGGACGGACAGAGGGACGGACAGAGGGACCGGCCCCGCGGCAGGACGAGCGCCGGACCGCGCCCCTGGGCGCGCTCCCGCGGGCGGCGGCCGATGCGCTTTAAAGGGAGCGACGCCGCGCCCTCCTACCCCCGCCAAGCCGGGGCAGCGCCGCCGCTCCCATTGGCTGGCCCCGCCCCGCCGGCCTCTCCCATTGGCCGGCGGCCGCCCCGGCCTCGCCTCTCGCTCGGCTCCGATTGGCTGTTTGCCATCGGTCGCGGTCCTCGCCCTTTCTCCCGGCTCCGGTTGGCTCGTGCCCGCGCCCCGGCCGCGCTCTGATTGGTCGCGGGCCGCGGAGGAGCGGGGGCGCGCGCGCGCGCGCGCGCCGGGGTGGAGGCCGTCGCTGAGGCGAGGGGCTGGCGGCGACGGCGACCGCGATGGCGGTGGCCGGCCCGTTGTCGGTGCCGGTGCCCATGAACCTCTTCGCCACGTGGGAGATCGACCGGTCGGCGCCGAGCTGCGTGCCCAGGTGAGCCGCCCCGCCGGCGGGGACAGCGGCGGCGCCGGGCGGGAGGCGGCCCCGGCAGCATCCCTGCCCCGCCGGGCCGCGCTCCTC